TTTCTCCCTTGAGGATCCCCAGACTCACTCCAACCGCATCTACCGCATGATCAAGCTAGGCTTAGGCATTGATGAAGATGAGGTGACTGCTGAGGAACCCAGTGCTGCTGTTCCTGATGAGATCCCCCCACTTGAGGGTGATGAGGATGCGTCTCGCATGGAAGAAGTCGATTAAAAGTTCCTACTGTAACACCCCATTGCCCCCTGTATAGCATCCCTGTGTCTCCCACAGCAGCCTTGAGTTGCCCTCTCCCATCTGGCTCCATCTGCTGATAGCTAGTATTTTTCTTTCCTGTCCTGTGTGTTAAGACAGGATGTAACTCTGGCCTCAACCTCAAGAATGAGGGTGGGATATTGTGTACTGTGAGTTTTGTTTATTTTGTTCTGAAAATTAAAGTATGCAAAATAAAGATGACATTTTATAAAAAAAAGTTTTAATTCTTATATATGATAACTAGGTACTTGTTATCTCGGATTAGTGAAACCAATGTACACTTCAACCTTATATATAGGCAAGAACAGTGAAACTTTTGTCTCATACACTCTGGGATTCATGCTGAGAATGTTGGAAGGTCAGAAAAAGATTACAGTGACTGTAATAGGTTTGAGTGCATCAAAAATTGTGAGGATGGTGCAGGACAGGGCAAGATTCAGCTGTGTTATTTACAGGGTCTCTATGGGTTGTAGCCAACCTGATGGCATCTAGCAACACTAAGTCCTCAAAATGATTAATTGTATGAAACTTTCTCGTGGAGAGAAAAATAACTACAAATAAGTATTTTTATTAAAATTCAAGCCTTTTACATTTCTAAAAAGCAACACAATGTATGTAAATTTTCTGCCATAAAAGAATTCTGAACATGGAAAAAACCAAACTAGGTAGTGTTATGTGTTCATCAGATGGAAAAATCGTAGTAATGGAGGAGACTGATGCAGAACTTAAGAATTTATACACTTGAGTTGTGTGTGTGTGTGTAGAGAATGTCATTTTGTATATGTGAACTTCAAGAATAAGAGAATCTGACTAGAATGACGAGGTAACAGCTAAAATCAAAGAAACTGCATGTACTTGATGCATAGTAAGCTACAAATAATTAAGAAAAGTATCATGTATAACATGTCTGTCCTTGATCTTACCTCAAATCCAGATAACCAGCACTTGAGATGAAAAGAAATACCTCATTGCTGCCAAGTAACATCTGACTTCTAGCCGATTCTCTAATGAGTTTTCAGAGGCTAAAAACTAATTGCACTAGAGACTGGCCAACATTCTCCCATGGAGCAGCTAGCAGACTCAAGCTGGCTGCCTTTGGGTGGGCTGGCGACACAACTCCTTACACTCTAGATGAAGTCTTAAACTCAGCGCTCTGATGTTGATTCTAATGCATAGCATCCTTGAATGGCAGATTAATAATGCCCTCTAGTGTTTTCCAAGGCAATAAATCTTACGGCAATTTCGTGGTGCAGGCAGTGGGGAACTGCTCCAACTCAAAACCCAAACCTTTCTGGCTGCGCAAATCCACTAGCCTTCTTAGGAGAAAGATGGGCATATTTCATGTATGATTTATAGCCTTAGAAACACAAAACAGGATAGCTATGAATCAGTTCTGACTTAATAGCAACGAGGGAGCCTAAGTTAGATTCTTCTTCCTCGAAGTGGCTCCCATCGAGTTCAAATCATTAACATTTCAGTTATTCTTTGTATCATCAAAGTTCCCTTTTTACCTCTGTAAGTTCACATTTAAAAAGTGAGATCTCACATAATCTTTTTTTTTGAGATCTCACATAATCTTATTTCACTTTCCATGTATCTTATATTCTTATTTATTGTCAATTTCTAAGTCAGTCTTGCAAACTTAATGATTACCTTAAAGTTGAATTAAGATGACAAACAAGAAAAATAAACAGCAGGAAACGGATTAGATGTTAACTAACAACATAAGAAACATTTAATAAGAGTCTAAATACAACAAAACATTCAAAACTTCAAATGATTGGTTTATAGACACAAATGTGCACTCCAAGTCAAAACAGTATCTGTGTCAACTAAAACAAGAGCGGGATGAAATGAAAATGCTTTCTGAAATATATAAACAAATTCTTTCCTCTAAAATACTTAGCTTTATTAAAGAAAAGATACTAAAAATAACAACGATTCAAACATTTTCTCTATTCTACTTACATATCATAAATAAGACAGTTGTTGATGTAAGATACACGCTGTCACAATCTTTTCGATGCATCCAAGCATTCTTTTATCAGAATAAGCTGTTTACTAGCCAACCGCATGTGGTTGAATGATTAAAATGACCATCTATAATCTATACTTTACATAGTAAAGTATTTTCCAAAATTTGAATGTTTACAGTGACAAAAAGTAAAAATAAAGACAACACAGTAATTCTGAACATGTGTGATTAAGCAGCTTCATAATCATACGAGGCTTCATTGCAATAAAGATAAAGACAGTTCCCTCCATTCTCCACCATAAGTTTCTTTCAATAATATTAACTTTAAATGAAAAATCAAGTTAAAACCAAGTAGCATACTACTCAGTTTTTTAAATCCATGAAAGTATTCCCATGAGGTAAGGCAACTGAGTAATTTGATTGTATTAGACTGCATTAAAATAATTATACTTGATTTTCAAAATAACGCACTAATTGTTATTTTTTTGGAAATGTAACAACATGAGAAGATTTCTGAAACCATGAGTTGTAGTTCTGAGGAAAAATGCTGGCAATGCTGTCATTTTACTACTTACGCACTTTTAGCAAAAAGTGAGCCCAAGAAGGACAGATGACCTCGATAAACTCAAGCAAATACATCCTTAAATATAAAACAAGTAACCTCATGTACTCTTAGTTCTATCTTTAGGTATAATTTCTGTAGGTCAGAAATATGAATAAATGATTGAGAGGTAATAATTAAGGCCATCCAACGTACATAACTAAAGGGCTTCTTCGGACTTAAGGAAAATAAACAAGCTTCATTTTCAATGATCACAGTATAAAACTGATGGTCCCAAAACTGCATGTTTGTTTCAAGCTCTAAAGTCATTCCTTAAAACAAGACTTTCTTTTCATATGAGGCAAGCTGAGTAAGAAGATTTTCTGACATCTATCAGTTGCACACTTCTCTTATGGGAGTGAATGGAACATCCATCTAGGTTCTGTATGAACTGAGAATGACTAGCACATATAAAATTCTAGAAAACAGTATACCACATTTTAGAAGGCACTAAAGCTTCAGCTTGTGCTCCCATAGCCCACTCTGAAAACCAGTTTCCTCTTTTTAAGGGCACCTTTGCCACTTACAGCTGACAAGACACACTGCAATATTTTTCATAAGCTTGGAAATGGCAAGGAAGTTCAAGAAGAAATGATCACTTTATGGGGAGACCCAATCATCCTAAACACTGAATACTAATACACTATTATTAGTATTCAACAGTTGCTCTTCTTTCTGCAACAGAACAGTAGCATACATTGTCAGTTGTTTCCTAATCCATATATTTAAGCATTTTTAATCCATAAAACTATTTAAAAGAAAAAAGACTGTACTAAACAGTGAGCAAAAGAGAACACAATAGTGAGAATTTAACACAATCACAGTAAATGCTGTTAAGCAAATGTTAAAACTTCTTACATACTTTGCACTTACAAGGGCATGTATATATTTGCACCAATTTCAAGCACATCATCAAATTGTAGATAATGAATTTTTTTTAAAAAGTAAAACAATACAAAATTCAGTAACTAGCGTTTTGTTTTTTCTTTTGAAAGCGCCTCCAATGCTCATCACCAGTTTTTATGGATAGTACAAATTTGGATCTTTGATGGTCTACTTATTTGCAATGGTTCCTGGCAAACACTTTAACAAACCACATGACAAGTGTGTCAACCACCATGGAAATGCACAGATTTCAGAAGATGAGGAGTTTGGGTAACATCTGTTATTTTCATGATGTCCATGCGTTATTTTCTTACTCTGTAACAAGATGGCCACAAAGTTATCTAACAACATGAAAACTCATTGGCTCATATTTATATGTTCAACAATTCTTCACTGTTTACATCTTGTTTAGAGAATGAAAAGCATTTATTCCAGCGTTGAGTTTAGAGGTGTATTTGTCAGTTCTATACTGCTTCTGCTTCTGTTTTAGCAGAGAGATTTTCTTCATTTGGTTGACAATTACCATTCTGCTGTACTTTGTTTTCCTCAGTCCTTGGTGCATCTTTTTCATCTACTTCTTTATCTACACTTGAATCTGGTTCTTTATTGTGCTCTTTCTCCTACAAAGAATATTAACGCAGATAATTAGTACTTTCCTCAATAGTTAATAACCAATACATTTAGTTGCTTAAAATTTGAAACTGTTGTTTGTGAATTATTTTTGTGGATGATTTTTTCCCCCATTAACTTTTTATATGAAAACCCACTCTCATAAAAAGGAAAATCTATGGAAATTAAATAGAAGAAATTCTAACCAACTGCCCAATAAATGCTGGTGACTTTAAAAAATGGGATGGATTTCAATGAAAAAAGTGAAATCATTTCATAGATGTCAAAATAGATTTGTAATATAAATACAAAAGAATCAACATTAATAGAATGTGGGAAACTCATCTCTATTCCATCAACTCAAGTATGATGGAGATTATGAGGATGGCACAGGATAGGGCATGGTGCTTCATCACTGACCATGAGTCATAGTTAACACAACATCACCTCATGACAATACCTCCTGCTAGAAACTCTCAAGAGAAACCCAAATTCTGCTCACAACTTAAGGAAGAATTAAGTGAAGATATGCAGAGAGTACCTGACATATATTAAGTGAGTAATAAATGTTGGCTACTATCCCTGATGCTGAGGATAAACCTCGCTCGTAATATTGGTGTTAATAAAATAATATAACTCTGAAACTTCACAATTGGAATAATTTCTAATTACAAACATACTTTACCAGTAAAAAAAAGAAAATGACACAATACAGAGTAAAATATTTTAAAAATAAAAACTGAAATATGAAAAAAAATTCGTTTCTTCTAAAGTACAGAGAAGAAGTTTGGAAATTAGTGAGAGTGAAATGATGGGAACGAAACATGAATGGAAATTATGAGAATGCTGAAAAAAATTAAAAAATGTTAACTAATGTCATTAAACAATAAATGTAGAAATTGTTGACTGAAAACTTGCTTTGCTGTGAGTACTTTCACCAAAATTAGCGTATTTCTTTATAAAAGTTATTTGAGAGATTTGCTTTCTAATACACACTGCATTAAAAAAAACCAGTTTAAATACATATTATACAAAAACAATAACAGACTGTCACGTGCTGAAAGAAACACTGAAGAAGAAAATGGCACTAAATAAAAATTTTTTGTACAATCAATGACTTATTCATTGCAAATACGTTCTATAAGAAACATAAATGCAGGTTATACACATGGATTTCACCTGATGGTATGCATAGGAATCAGATTGATTATATCTGCGGAAAAAACCGCTGGAGAAGCTCAATATCAACTGTGAAAACTAGGCCAGGAGCTGATTGTGGAACAGACCACCAACTACTCATATGCAAGTTCAAGCTGAACCTGAGGAAAATTAAAGCAAATCCACAGGAGCCAAAATATGACTTTGATTTCATCCCACCTGAATTTCAGAATCATCTCAGGAACAGGTTTGAGGCCTTGAACACTAATGAGCGAAGAAGACCAGATGAGTTGTGGGAGGATGTCAAATGTATCATCCAGGAAGAGTGCAAACGGTCATTACAAAGACAGAAGAGGAAGAAAAGACCAAAATGGATGTCAGAAGAAACTCGGAAGATTGCACTGGAACGTAGAAAAGCCAAAGCACAAGGAAGAATTCAAGATACTAAAAAGCTGAACAGAAGATTCCAAAAGGCTGCTCGGAATGACAAAGCAAAATACTACAATGAAATGTGCAAGGAGCTAGAGTGGGAAAATCAAAAGGGCCGAACTCGTTCAACATTTCTTAAGCTCAAGGAACTAAAGAGCAAATTCAAACCTCGAGCTGCTATAATCAACGATGCTTTAGGCAGAATATTAAATGATCCAGGAAGTATTAAAAGAAGATGGAAGGAATATACTGAGTCATTATATCGAAAGGAATTGGCAGATACAGAAGAATTTAATGAAATAACATTTGAGCAAGAGCCTATGGTGATGAAGGAAGAAGTTCAAGCTGCTTTGAAGAAATAGCAAAAAATAAGGCCCCCGGAATAGATGACACACCAATTGACACATTTCAGCTAATAGATGCTGCCCTGGATGTGCTCACCAAGTTGTGCCAAGAAATCTGGAGAACAACCACTTGGCCAATTGACTGGAAGAGATCTGTATTTGTTCCTATTCCAAAGAAAGGTGACCCAACTGAATGCGGAAACTACAGAACAATCTCATTGATTTCACATGCAAGCAAAATTCTACTGAAGATTATCCAAAAAAGACTGGAACAGCACGTCAGCAGAGAACTGACAGAAGTCCAGGCTGGGTTGAGAAGGGGTCGTGGTACTAGGGAAATTGTAGCTGACGTTAGATGGATCTTAGCTGAAAGCAGGGAATACCAGAAAAATGTCTATCTGTGCTACATTGATTATGGAAAGGCGTTTGACTGTGTGGATCATAACAAACTGTGGCTGACTCTGAGAAGAATGGGAATCCCCGAACAATTACTCGTACTAATGCAAAACCTGTACTTGGACCAAGAGGCAGTCGTCAGAACAGAGGAGAGTAACACCACATGGTTCAAAATTTGGAAGGGTGTACGCCAGAGATGTGTCCTATCTCCATACCTTTTCAACCTGTATGCGGAGCAGATTACCCGAGAGGCTGGGCACTATGAGAAGAAGTGTGGCATCAGGATTGATGGAAGATCTATTAACAATCTGTGTTATGCAGATGACACAACCCTGCTTGCTGAAACTGAGGAGGACCTCATGCCCTTGCTGCAGAGGGTCAAGGACTGCAGCCTTCAGTATGGACTGAGGCTCAATGTCAAGAAGACAAAGATTCTCACCACTGGACCAATTGGTAGCATCAGGATGGATGGCGAAGAGATTGAGATTGTTCACAGCTTCAGTTTGCTCGGCTCCATGGTCAACACTCTTGGCACCAGCATCCAGGAAATAAAAAAACGTATCGTGATGGGAAAGTCTGCTGTTAGGGACCTCTCTAAAGTACTCAAGAGCAACAGTGTCTCTTTGGAGACTAAGGTGTGCCTGATACAGGCCATGGTCTTTGCAATCACTTGTTATGCATTAGAGAGTTGGACAATGACTAGGGAGGATAAAAGGAGAATTGATGCCTTTGAGCTGTGGTACTGGAGAAGAGTATTGAATGTACCATGGACAGCCAAGAAAACAAACAGATTCATCCTGGAGAGGGTTAAACCAGGCTACTCCTTGGAGGCAAGGATTCTCGGGCTTCGTCTGACATACTTTGGACATGTAAGGAGAGACAGATCCTTGGAGAGGGACATCATGCTTGGTAGGGTGGAGGGACAGCGCAGGAGGGGAAGACCCTCTATGAGGTGGACTGATTCGGTGACTGGGGTAATCGGAATGAGTGTGTCAGAGGCAGTGTGATTGGCACAGGACAGAGCAGGATTTAGGGCTGTTGTACAGAGGGTCGCTATGAGTCACAAACGATTCGACCACACATAACAACAACATAATCAAGTACATCATTATTTATGTATATTCTAAAAATTTATTCTAGGATTTTAGTTAGCTCTTATTGCTTTCTACTATTGGGATAAAAATAGTCAAGAATTACCAATAATGTATATGTACTTTTGCTCTTAGAATATTTGGGCTAAAAATATTTCTATACAATAAACAACAATCTTGATTATTATTTAAGCCGAGACAATGACTGCTGCTTACTTTAAGAGATGTACTGTTTTTCTCCAACTTTTCCTTTACATCTCTGTCATTAGAACTCTTTCTTGTAGAGGTGGAACGCTCCCTCTCTCTTCTTTCACTGATGTGGTCCTTTTCTTTTTCTCTCTTCTTATCTTTCTTATTTCTGCTTTAATAATAGGGATAATACATGTCAACTTTTAAAATAGTATCTTGGACTTTTAAAAATATTCTTAATACAGAGTATCTAATTAAAATTATGAAAAAAGTAAAATATAAAAAAAAATGTACCCTATCATCCCACCTACTAAAAATACTATGAATTTTAACCTTACCACCAATTAATAATGTAAAGATTCGTCTTCCTCTTTCGTTATAACACATACTTTCAACCTACCTCCTAGGGGATGGAGATCTAGAAGACTTCCTCTTTACGGTTTTTGATGTTCTTGGTGATCTGGAGGAACTTCTGCTCCTCCTTCTCCGCCTTTCCCTGAAAATCAAAGACTCTGATTTAACAAACCAGCAAATGAAGTAAAATTCAAATACATAAAAGCAAGATGATCCTTGATGCTCTCAAGAGAATGGCATTCCTCAGAAGCCAGTTGAAGCTCAAGTCCTTTATGAGCACATTTTATTATTTAATTTTGTATGAGATCAAATTATGAGGCATCTTTTAAAGACTTGCAACCATCATCTAACACTTCATATTAGAAAAGTTAGAGGGTCTTCTTTTCAGGAGTTCTTTTGGAAAAGAATTTCTTGAACAGTAGAAAGAATAGCAATAATGTTGTTGTTGTTGTTATGTGTCAATCAGTTGACTAAAACCCAGAGGGATCCTATGAACAATAGAGCTGAACCTTGTCCTTTCCTGCACTGTGCTCATCATCTCTGACATGCTCAAGCCCATTGTCACAGTCACTGTGCCACTCCATCATTTGGAAGGTTTTCCTCTCTTTCTCTGATCCTAAACTTTTCTGAGCTTTTGGTCTTTTTCCAAGTTTAAAAATAATAATGGGTGTTTTATATTCTCTTCAGTTAAATATTTTCTTTCTCATCATGAGAAAGAACATTTTATTTATCAGATCTTCTGTTAAGGATTTAGCTGCCTGCCCCACAGTAGCATGTTTTTGTCAAAAACGGAAAGGTAATTTAAGCTTGTACGTGAACTTTCTAGACCTAGATTTCTCTCCAGCCTATCATTTCTACTTATATCATGATATATTCATTTCAAATTGAGTATATAACTAAGAGATATTAGAAATAGAGAAAATCTGGGATTTAAACATGATAAAGTAAAAATTAACCGCTTATCTCAATTGTTTTGTTTAGCATATTAAAAAATGATACAGACTCTAACTCATTATTTTTGTAAAAGTAGTCACCTTAGAACCAATGGTCATCACATTCTGAATTCAAAAAATGAGGTATGAGGAGATTTTTATGAAAAGATTAACATATCAAATAATCTGACACAGAGCACAGAGGATTGAGCTCCTCTGGAGTTCTGGAGGATTTGAAAAATACATTGCTATGCCTATGTTCTCCACCTATAACCCAAAATCTAAATAATGTTCAGCTATGTAGTTATGTGTGGCAGATACTAAAAGCATCTTTAGTCTACTCAAGCTATAATTCTGCTTTGATCAGCAAACTCTATTAAAAAAATGCCATGGACAAGTAGACATTTAACAACTAAAAGAGAAGAACGAAGGCTGGATAGACAACAATCTATACCATCAATTACTTGACAGAAGTTATGAGCTGTTCTACGAGAGATGCAAACCGAAACAACTATAAGCTATCATCTTACCCCAGTAACAATAGCAAAATTCAGCGGAACAGTAAACAACAAATGCTGGCAAAGCTGTTGAAAAATTGGAACCCTTATTTATTGTTCGTGAGAGTGCAAAATGGTCCAACCACTATGGAAGCCCATATAGAACTTTCTCAAAAAGGTGGAAACAGAAATACCATATGACTCAGTAATTGCACTATTTACCTTAAAGAAACCAGAACTTCTACCCAAACAGAAATATACACACCCATGTTTATGGCAGTGTTAATCATAATAGCAAAGAGATGGAAGCAACCCAAGTGCCCATCAACAAATGAATGGCCAGAGAAGCTGGGGTATAGTCATATAATGGAATACTACACAACAATGAAAAAACTCATAAAATATTAACAAAATGGGTGACCATGGAGAAAATTATGCTGAGTGAAATATCTCATTCACAAAAGGACAAATACTGCATAATGCCACTGTTATAAAACAGGACCGACACTGAGGGTTGGGGAGAAATTAAGAATAAAGGGGGTAAATAATGAACACTGCATTGGAATGGATGAGGGAAATAATCATTTAAAAGGAATATATGATTAGGTATTATTTGCATGACAACAGTCCAGATAAGAGGTGTACAGCAAAGTGGACTGGGCTGGCGATGAGGGGAGAAAACTGTGCAACAATGAATAAATTTTTAAAAGAGAAAAGCTAATGGGGGAGGAGGTAGAGAGGAAAATGTGCAACAATGAACAAATGGAAATCCATTCATGGAAAGTGTTCTGTAAACTTTCACTAAAATCACAATTTTATATGTGTGTGTATAAAAAAATATATATAGGCTCCATAGTCAACAGTCTTGGCACCAGCAGCCAGGAAATTAAAAGGCGCATTGCCATGGGAAAGTCTGCTGTTAGGGACCTCTCCAAAGTGCTGAAGAGCAATGGTGTCTCTTTGGAGACTAAGGTGCGTCTGATATAGGCCATGGTCTTCGCAATCACCTGTTATGCATCAGAGAGTTGGACAATGACCAAGGAGGATAGAAGGAGAATTGATGCCTTTGACCTGTGGTGCTGAAGAGTATTGAGAATACCATGGACTGCTAGGAAAACAAACAGATTTGTCCTGGAAAGGGTTAAACCGGGTGGGGCTCCTTGGAGGCAAGGATTCTGAGGCTCCGTCTAACATACTTTGGACATGTTGTGAGGAGAGACCGGTCCTTGGAGAGGGACGTCATGCTTGGGAGGGTGGAGGGACAGGGCAGGAGAGGAAGGCCCTCTATGAGGTGGATTGATTCAGTGACTGGGATAATTGGGATGGGAGTGTCAGAGACAGTGCGATTGGCACAGGACAGAGTGGAGTTTAGGGCTGTTGTACATAGGGTCGCTATGAGTCGCAGGCGACTTGACGGCACATAACAACAACAACAACATATATATATATATAAAAAAGAATATATGAGCTGATGTATGAAGAACATGACAAATGAAGTTGATTAGACTTAAGTTCCATATCTTAACCAGTATTACATTATTTTAAAAGTCTTAACATTTTAGAAGGCTGAATAGTGGAGTGGACTTGCAGGGCAGGATTGTGTAACAATGAAAGAATTTTTCTCTTTTCAAAGAGAAGAGCAAACTGGGGGGGGGGGATGTTGGGCAGGAAGAAAAGTGCAACAATGAAAGAATGGAAATCCAAAGTCTCTGCAAACTTTCATTAAAATTAATAAAAATTTTTAAAAATATAAAAAAAGTCTCAGTATTTTAAACTAGAAAACAAAGGTAATTAATGTTTGCCATGTACTTAACAAAATCAAGCAAATGAAAAAGGGAAAACACTAAGAAAATACAACTCTTCAACAAGTTTTTCTTAAAGCATAAAACAGTCTAAACAGATAAACCTCTATAGTAATATTTCCAGTATCTATTGCACAGGATTTGGGAATATAGTTAGAAATGAATAAAAATGGCTGAACTTTTTTAAAATTAAAGGATGTATTTCAGCAAAGAGATGCAGCCCTGCATGTGCTCACCAAGTTGTGCCAAGAAATCTGGAGGAAAACTACTTGGCCAACTGATTAAAGAGATCCATATTTATTCCCATTTCAAAAAAATGACCCGAGAATATGGAAATTATCGAACAAAATGACTAACACAGGAGCTAAATCTTTCTGAAGATTATCCAGAAAAGACTTGAACAGTACACTGACAGAGAACTACCAGAAATACAAGTGGGTTTAGAAGAGGTTGTGGCACTAGGGACATTATTGCCAATGTCAGCTGGATAATGGAAGAAATCAAAGAGTACCAGAGGAATGACTATCTGTGTTTCATTAACTACGCAAAGGGATCTGACTGTATGGATAATAATAAATTGTGGCTAACCTTGAGGAAAACGGAAATCCCAGAATACTTGATCATGCCTTTACAAAGTCTATAGTTGGACCAAGCAGCAGTCCTCAGAACAGTGCAAGGAAGTACTACATGGTTCACAATCAGTAAAGGAGTGAGGCAGGGATGCATCCTGTTTTCATACCTTTTCAATCTATATGCAGAACAGATCATTCAAGAAGCAGGGCTTTATGAAGAGGAGTGTGGCACCAAGAATGGAGGAAGACTCATTAACAACCTATGCTATGCAGAAGGCTTGCTACAAAAGGTCAAAGACTATAGTCTTCAATATGGATTGAAGCTCAACATCAAGAAACAAAGATTCTCACCACTGAGCCAAGTGGCAGAACCATAACAGACAGAGAAGAGATTGAGGTTGTTGGCAATTGCAGCTTGCTTGGATCCACAATCAACACTCTTTACCACCAGCAGTCCAGAAATCAAAAGACGAATTGCACTGGGAAAATGTGCTGTCATGAACCTCTCCAGAGTGATGAAGAGCAACAATGTCAGTCTAGATACAAAGGTGCGCCTAATCCAGGCTATGGTCTTGTTATGCTTCAGAGAGTTGGACAATGACTAAAGATGACAGAAGAATAGATGCTTTCGAGTTGGGGTGCTGGAGAAGAGTATTGAACGTACTATGGACTTCCAAGAAAACAAACAGGTATGTCTTGGAAAGGGTGAACTAAGTCTCTCCTTGGAGGATAGGATTTTGAAGTTCTGCCTCACTTATTTGGGCACATGGCCAGGAGAGATCGGTTCTGGGAGAAGGACATCACGCTCAGAAGGGTGGACGGACAGCACAGGAGTGGAAGATTGATTGATACAGTAACTGGAGAAAAGAGGTTGTGTGTCAGAATTAGTGAGTCTGGCTCAAGACAAGGAAGGGTTCCAGAGGTGCTATATATACATCGCCGGCGACTCAATTACACATAACAATAACATACTATGACAGGTTTTGGAAGCAAGAATGGCATCTACTTCCTAAATAACATGCCTCCGGAAACATATGAACTCTGATAAATGTTGATCACTGTAGAGGGGCAGCAGGCCTTTTGTTCACAGGGTTACTATGAGTGGTGGTCAACTGGAAGGCAATAAACAACAATAGTCCTTGAAAAAGTTAACATTTCAAAGTCAGCAGAAAAAGTAAATTCAAGTTAACAAAAAAGAATCAAGATAATTTTTGTTGCTTTTAAGCATAATGTTTATCGAATAAAGCTATGGCATATGGGATACAGAATAAAGAAATTGTGCAGTAAAAATGGGAGTCCTTAAGACTCAATTGCTACCATGTCAAATAAAGTCAGTCAT